TATGCTTTTCATATTTATTCTAATAGGCAAATTCTCTTTTCTATCCATTGAACTGAATAATGGCAATACACGCATGAAAATCAAAAAGACACTAATCATCACATCATGAACACGATTTAAAATCGTGATGATTGATTGATAGATAGATAGATGGATGGATAGATGAATTCATTTTCTTTCTGTTCTCAAATACTCTTTAAGATTTCTTGTTTTTTTTTATTAAGAGTTTGTCTTCAAAATGCAAAAAAAAAATAACAAGGGATACTATGTTGTTGTGGTTGTTGTTGTTGTTCAAGCGAAATGATCGACTGACTAGTTGCGTTAAGATGATAAAATCTTTTGAAAATAAATAAAGAGAGAGAGAGCAAACAAAAAAATATTGTTATAGAATTGTTTACAGTAATAACATCAACAACAAGAAATAGTTGAATGAAACGAAATGTAGAGAGATGCTTAGTCAACAATCGTATTACGTACGTCGTTTTGATCATGTTCTGCGGTTTCATAGATTACGTCACTCGGAGCTCTTTATTAAAAGTGGAAATTAGTTAGTGTTGAGGACGTTAGATCCCTAAAATTAGTGTTTTCGAAGATGGGTTGATCAGTTGACCTTGAGATTACTTACTTGCTTACTGACTTACTTAATTACTTACTGACTTACTGACTTACTTACTTACTTACTTATGTATGCACTTACTTACTTACTTACTCATGCACTTACATACATACTTACTTATGCTTGTTACCCCCAATGGATCATAGGCCACCGACAGACATTGTCCAGTCTACTCTGTCCTAGGCCTTCCCTTCTTGTTCTATGTGAGTGTTGTTCATTCTTTTCATGTCTGTCTCTGATTCTCGATGTAATGATGTACAATACTATTTCCATTTACAAAACACGCAGTTTATTGGCTGTCTTCTTTCACATATCTTCAAGTTTTCAAAACACTTTGATCTCAACATACAGTCGGATCTGACATTCTTTTCTTTTATGATCGGCCAACACTCTGCTGTAAACTACTACTTAAAAATCTACCCTGAGACTGAAATCCAATACGCCACTGAGAAAACTGAGGCAGGCGCGGTAGTCTATTGAAAACGAAAACATTACATTGAATACACTCTATTTGCACATCATCTTTGAGTCGTGACTTCCAACACTCCATCCTTCTTCTTCGATTCCTGTTGTTGCTTCCTTTACTTCCTGTTGGTACTCCATTTACTTCTTGCTTTTGCTCCATTTGCTTTCCGTTTTCCTCTTGTGACCGTGAGACTTCTTCTTTCACGTCCGTTCTTATACTACTTATATCGTTCGTGTAAGTAGCACACACCACAACACCATTACACTGAAATATCTGTGACAAAAAATTGTTATCAAGCTGTAAAAATGAGAAATAACCATCATTTCTAATTGTTAGAACAAAGAAGATTGTTTAATGAAAAAAATTTCATCTCTAAAGCTTAGCAACTAAAATGTATGTTTTAAATTAGACATTTGTCCAATCGTATCGCGCAAGTTAATAATTTTTATTCAGTTGCTTTTTGGTTGCCGGGTTTTTTTTCTCTTCATTTTTTAAACAAAAATTAATCCCGCGGATTTAATTTGAATAAGTGAAACTCGAAAAAGAAAAAACAAAGAATGAAAACTTCTAAGCTCTGATGCATATACACTAATCTCTTAATTTTAAAATGACTTGCTTACATACACTATATTTGAACTGGTCTACTTAATCAATACTTTAAAGAATTAAGTCTAACTATCATATTCACTAACATTACCAACTATGCTACTCATCAAAACTGTTCATAAGTAGTATGTTTGGGGGGGTGGGAAATGGTGTACAGATTGTTTCCGTTGATAGCTAGAGAGAGAGAAGATTTACAGAAGATTGGAACATCAGGCTTACTCGAAATAACTTACTCACTTACTTAGGCCTGTCAATCCTAATGAAGCATAGGCCACCGATCAGTGTTCTTCAACCAACTCTGTCTGTCCTGGGCTTCCCTTTCCAATTCTGTCCAATTTCTGTTCATTCTTCTCATGTCTTTTTCTATTTCTCGACGTCATACGTTTTTTGGCCTTCCTCTTTTCCTTTAACCTTGGGGGTTCCATGTGAGGGCTTGTCTTGTGACGCAGTCGGGTGTTTTCCTCAGTGTGTCCTCTCCTATTCCTACACTCCTTCCTGATTTCGTTCTCCATTGGAATCTGATCGGTTCTCTCCTACCGTTGGTTGTTGCTGATGGTGTCTGGCCAACGAATCCGAAGTATTTTACATAGACTACTGTTGATAAACATTTGAACCTTCTGGATGATTGCTTTCATAGTTTGTTCTACTCAAAATAAAAACACCAATAATTGACAAAAGCTCTGTTCTTTAAAATAATTCAGTTTGATTAAAGTATAACATGATAATGTTTACTATATCTATGATTAATTTTTTCAGATGATTTTCAAAATCTTTTAGTGAACTGTTACCGGACTTCAATTTTTAGACGAACGTTCATATATATCATTGAATTCATAAACCGATCAACATAAGATCACCATTAGAAACCTGGGAACACTGGACGACCCTTTCATCCCAGTATGAAACTCATACTGGAAACTCATACAGAAACCCATACTCAACTCATTTAAGACTTGAACATACCGGAATCGAACCCAGGACATCCGGACTAGCACATGGACACTTAACTCCTAAACCATTTAATCAGCATCCAACGGTGTTAATGATCTAATTTCGATCGTCCCACGACATTGCGCAACCTAATCGATTGTCTTCTGAGAGTAACTACCTCATTCTCAACACGGTTTCATTACAATAGTCCCGGCTTCTCACCAGAACTCCGAGGATTTCCTCACGAAGCTAGTCACTAGTGATCAAGTGCAGTGATCGTGAATTCGCACTGCTGATGTGTCCCAAACTAGGATGAAACGGCTATTCAGTATTTCCAGGTTTCCGATAGTGGTCTAACACTACTGATCAATTCATAATTTCAATGAAATTCAACAAGCTCCACAACTCCATAATGAAGATTTTAAATTTTGCATGAAAATAATTCTTTCATTCCATACTAAGGTTAACTCTGTCCGAACGACGACGGTAATGAGAAGTCAAATAACGGATTACGTGCGATGAATTTATGGTATGCACTCGTGTTAATGCAGAGAGACATTTCGGATGAGTAACGGAAAATTGAAGCTAAGCGGAAAAATTTAATGAGTCAACTTCTTCATTACAGCCTCTAACAAACGTGAGTATACCTGAAATTAGGTGATGTGTGCATGTAGTCTGACAAAAAGACAGGTAATGAATAAATGAGCGACTGACAGACATACACACAAAGTGTATCAGAGTAAACTGACAAAGACATGAACATAAGATATATTTGTACTGAAAGTCATAGAGTTCTATACGAAAAGAATAAAGTTACAATGAAGATGGTCATAACGGCTCAATAGTCAATAAGTAGGTCAAACTTGGATACACTATTAGAAATTTGCATTTTAGGATTACGGAGATCGGTTGTTCAACAGAGATATCATGAATGAATCATTAGAAACCTAGAAGCACTGAAGGACGACCGTTTTTTCTGGTATGGGACTCATCAGCAGTGCGTATCCACAACTCTGGCTAGTCGCAGGATTCTAATCCAGGACCTTAGAATGTGTCAAAGAACAATTAACCTCTAGACCACTGAGCCGGCATCCAACAGTGTTAATGTCTAACTCTCATCAATCTAAGGATTTAGCGCAAACTCGCTCGTGGGATTCGGTAGCTACTGCTCTCACCCGACATAGCTGAGCTCCATTAGCCACATCTTCTCACAGTGTTGAAGACAAAAGGTCCCGGGGTTCAAATCCTGTGATTAGCAGGAGTCGTGGATGCTCACGGTTGATGTAGTCCCATATAAGGAAGAAATAGCCATCATTCAGTGATTCCAGGTTTCTAATGGTGGTCTAACGATGATTGACTGATGATTTCAAATATGTATATGTGTTCAATGATCAATATTCATATCTTTTTTGCCTCAAATGATTTGTTTTGTTTTTCTTTCCAATCAAATACTTTGTCAACTTTTACACTGTTAAGATAATTTTTCCTACTTTCTAACTGGTCATTTTATATATACTCTCTACAGGTAAAATCATGATTGGCATAAAATGTGAAGAGTTCTATTTTTAAAAAAAAGTTTTTCGATTAGTGTAGCAGTTATTCATTTTATTCATTCATTCATTCACTCACTCACTGATCATCATGTACTACTCTCAATCTAGTATAAAATTCATTGGATTAGAAAGAGTTTTGAGGCAAAAAAAAATGACTACTATTGTAGGAGCAAATAGGAAGAAATAAGAGACATACAAAGAGTAGTATAAGAAAAGTAAAAAGGTAACTTTCCGTGTAAAAATCTATCTATCTCTCTCTCTCTCTCTAGTTGAACTAACTCTCCCATTTATCTCTCTCACACACGTACACATATACGCACACACACACACGTATTGCTGTACAATGTATAACATGTGTATTCTTGTATGTTCAATGTTATATGTCTGTCGAACTAACTAACTCACAGTTAGTTAGTTAGTTTGTTAGTTCAACATTATTCAATGTTCAATACATGAGGAAGGTGATATGAAGAGTAATAATTATAGTAGCCATTAGTAGTAGTAATAGTCATAGTCATAGCAGTAGTAGAAGCATCCATGATTATTGTCTTGCCCATACTCGAATCATGTATTATTGAACAAAATGAATATATTCTTCGGATTTAAACAAACAAAAAAAGAAACTTGATCAATCAATAAATATCTTACTTGATCAATTTGAAAAATTTTCTCATTATTTTAAATGACCCATCAATAAAAAAACAAGGGGAAAAATGTAATTTTTCATAAATCAGTTGAATTTAATTTTTTTTCTGAAAAATAAAACATGAGAGTACATTTTAAATCGATGCGAATGTTATGTGTTTTCGTGAATATGATTTATTTGATAATGATTAAACTTGGCGAAAATTGTCAAGCAAATATTATACATAATGATAATAATACTACTCATATTAGTAGTATAACTACACTAAATGACAATGACACAAATTTGAATATATCTTTATTAAAAAATCAAATAGAATTTTATTTAAATGATAATACACCAAAAAATTCTAAAATTGGTAATATTTTTACAAAAATTCAACAACAACAACAACAACAAAAAGGCCATGAATACAATTTTCTACGTTCAATTTTAATTCCAAGCACATATTTTCAATTAACTAGTCAAGGTGATTTATATACTACTACTACAGAACAAAATGAATTAGATCGTGATTTGATTTGTCAACAATTCGATTGTTGCACAAAAGATTCTTGTCAAATTAATTTGGATGCATATTTATTTACTAGACATCCAATACCAATTAAAATCCCGATACGTATTTGGATTACTGATCAAAATGACAATGCTCCATTATTTCCTAAATCTAATCTAGTTTACCCAAATAATAGGCAAATGTTACAAGGTGATAATCGAGAAAATGTAAGTATTTATGAATTGGTTATACCAGAATCTACACCTATCGGTAGTAGATATTCCCTACCTATGGCTGTAGATTTAGATTCACCTCGGTATGGAATTAAACAATATAGAATGCATGAACTATTATTACGTAACAATAATCATGACGATTTCAACACAAACTCACCATTCAGTTTAATTCATCCTACAAAACAAAATCTACAATCACCACTTGGATCACCTCAATTACAGGTGGATCAATTATTGGATCGTGAAGAAAAATCCATGTATTATTATCGACTAATTGCGGAAGATCACGGTGAGCCAGCGTTGAGTTCCACAATCCTGTTACATATTAAAATCGAGGATGTCAATGATAATGCGCCTATTTTCATGAATTCAAGTACAAATCTAATACCTTTTAATAGTAGTAACGATGATATCAGTATTTATATTATGGAAAATCTTACTGTAGGCACAAAAATCTTTCAATTTTATACTGTTGATTATGATCAAGGTGAAAATAATAATGTCAGTTATTGGATTGATTGGAAATCAATATATGGTGATGTAGACCAATTCAATGTTCAATCTATTCAATCGAAATATTCATTAAATCCATTGACTGGTGAATTGATCATTTCAAATAATTTAGATTATGAAAATGAATTTGAACGTAAATTGACTTTATTAATACAAGCTATGGATAATGGTTTGCCAAGATTAACAACAAGTTTAACATTTATCATTCATTTAATTGATATAAATGATAATGATCCAGAAATTGAAGTGATACAACCACAAACTACTAATGAAATTCACAATTTGAGTAGTACACTTAACGTAGGTGGCGTTGAAAATTCGGCATTGTTTTATGAAAATGATCCAACACCACAATTATTACGATTATTATCTGTAAAAGATAAAGATCATTGTTCAATTAATAAAATCACATGTCAATTAATTGATGAACAAGAAAATCTTGTCAATTTTCAATTAATTTCTTATTCAAACAATGTTTATGGTTTATTGAATCAACGTGAATTTGATTATGAACAAGAGACGAATGAATTAGGTCAAATTTTAGCTGGTATTCAATGTTTCGATATGGCAGAACCAATAAAATTTATTAAACAATGGTTAACAATACCATTAGGTAATTTAAATGATAATTGGCCACAATTTAATCAAACAAATTATCAATTTTCAATCTATGAAAATTTACCCATTCATACACCGGTTGGTTATATTCATGCTACAGATTTAGATTCCGGTCCAAATGGTCAGTTAATATATGAATTAATGTCAGAAAATGTAGAATATCTTAATTTTATTAAAATTGATGCTAACTCTGGAATTCTTTACACAAATAGTCTATTAGATAGAGAATTAATTAGTAGTCTTCATTTTTTCGTGACAGTATCCGATAATGGAATCACTACTGATCCATACAACGCTGACAATCACGAGAAACAGCACATCAATTCAACCGCTAAAACAAATACAACAAGTGTGAAAATTCATCTCCTAGATGTGAATGACAATGCACCAAACTATATTGGACCAACAGAACTACATATGGAAGAAAATTTACCCAAAGGTACAATCATATTGGATCGATTAAATTTAATCGATCCAGATTTAGAGGAGAATTCCACTCTGACCGTCAAATTAGACCCCGATCAAGTAAATAATCAATATCCATTCCATTCTAATCCGATTATCTCGGTTGATAATCAATTCAAATTAATGACAATTGATTTATTGGATCGTGAATATCAATCAAGTTATTTATTCAAATTAATTGCCTATGATCATGGTCAATACATTAGTCATACATGTACCATCACGTTCACATTATTCATTGATGATGTCAATGATAATCCGCCATATTTGTTGTATCCAAAAAATGCTAGTTTCTTATTCAATGATCAATCGAATCATTTGAATTGGTTCAATGATCAATTATTAACCAGTATCCCAGCGAATACACCATTCGGTACATTGATCTCAACGATACGTGGTAAAGATTTAGATGCTGGTAAAAATGGTACAGTGATTTATTCAATTGTACCAAGTAAACAATATCATTTAAAACAAACATTTCTTGAAAATAATCACAATACTACTACTACTACTACTTATATTCATAATAAAAAATCAAATTATACAAAACATGAAAATAGTAGGGAATTTCTAGAAATTTCTGATGCATATAATTATTTTAATATCAACGAACAAACCGGTGAGTTGACAACATTTTGGAGTAACAATAATAATCATAACAATAATGATGGAAATCAATTCCAGTTCACGAATCAAACGTATCATCTTCGACAGACTTTCACAACATCACCTACCCTTGGTTTATATTTATTAACAATTCATTTAAAAGATCAAGGTAAACCACAACTTACTAGTGAAGTGATATTTTATGTGAATATTAGTGAATCATTGAACAACAATAATGATGCTTCATTCAATAATTGGACATTGAACAATTCTTCATCTTTATTGAGTAATATTATTATATTAATTTTAATTATAATATGTAGTTTAATTTTAGTAATCAGTTTAATCACATCCATATTATGGATACGTTTTAAAACAAATCATTCAATAATTATTGACTCTTCACTATCGAATAATTCATTTAAACAACACCACCAACAACACCACCAACAACACCATCAACAATATAAATCGAATCGTATTATCAGTTCACATTTGAATGAACCAAATGAATTTCAACATTTAATAAACTTATCTACATTAAATGAGCAAAACAAATTTATTCAATCAACAAATCATGGAACATTATATTTACCTTCAACAATAAATTATCCGGTACCTGAAGAATATGCCGCCATTTCACCAAGAAAACAATTATTAAATGAAACTTTAATGTTAACAGGACAACAAAATGAGCAATTCACTTCTTATATACCACCACATCAACCATTCTCAACATCATCTTCATCGTCAGTACAAGTTTATCCTTTGTGTACTACTACTAATAATAATATGAATGAACAGAATTACCACACGAATAATATGTACAATATTACAACAATGACTCATGATGCGATCAATAAAAGTAGTGATTATTACTCATCAACCATGCAAAATCGATATAGTCCATATCCGTTAAACACTACAATCCCATTGGTTATTAAACATTCCAATGATCACATGACAATGACACATGGATGTAATATGGATTTCTATACAGCAGATAGAATAGAATTATGTCATCAAGATGTACACATGTTAGGCAGTAATAATAATAATATTTGTACAGATTTGATCAATGGAACTAATCAAACAAATAGTCGAACTGGTAGTGATAGTGGAGTGGATAGTGGAATAGGAATCATTGTTACTTCAGATACACATGTTCTACCTATGTCATCATGGCATCGGATTGATTTAGATCATACAAAAGTTAATCATGATTCAATTGAGATAGATAATAGTAATAATAAACTAATTCATGGAAATACACAAGAATTGTATCATAATGTTGTGAACATTTCACCGACAAATATGGTAACACATGAAGTACAACCAATGGAACAAGAGAAAACTAATTATCTTCAATTCAATATTTAATGTTGGTTTTTTTATTCAATGTCTCGGTGAAATAGAAATTCTAAAACTTATGTAATGGAAATTTTTTCAAAATTTATGAAATTCTATTCATATTTGGCGGTAAGTTATAAATTTAAACATACTAACATTTATTTATTGAATTTATTTAAACACATAAATGAAAAAAATTGATATAAATCATTGAACTGAAAGGTTGCCACTGTTTGAGACATTGAGTTAAAAGTCGAATTCATGAGAAAAGAGAGCAACGTTCTGTGGGGTAGCCAGTGTTCGACATTAGGTTGATTGGCTATTTTGTTCCTCTGGATAACTTGACCAATGTACACCACTGACATAGAATAAGAGCAATCCAACTCTTTTTAGTGAATTCTCCGTAGTCATCAATCAGGCTTAAATGTCGAACATAAGCTAATAATTATTAGGAGTACGGGGGCAAATGATTGTGAGAATGAATCATTGAAGATAAAATGTACAAATCATGCCTTGAATTTTCGTTGAATCAAGTTCAACTTATTGATTAGTTGACTTGAAAATAACAAAATGAAATTCGACCTTGCGTGACGAGACAAGCCCTCACATGGAACCCTCAAGGCAAAAGGAAAAGAGGAAGGCCAAAGAATACATTACGCCGAGAAATAGAGAAAGATATGAGAGGAATGAACAAATATTGGACAGAACTAGAGAGGGAAGCCCAGGACAGAGTTGGTTGGAGAAAACTGGTGAGCGGCCTATGCTCCATTGGGGGTAACAGGCGTAAGTAAAAAAAAAGTAAAAGTGATTTAAATTTAACATTCTCACCAACGGATTTTTCATACTTTTCAATCTACATCACCCAGTCTTGTTGTCAATGAAAAGCGATAGTTTTGAAAACCAACTATCTTACTCACTATTATACAGGGTTCATTCTTTGTGTAAATACCAGAACATTTAAATGATGATGAACGTTGTGATAGTATTCAGCTTGTCATTATCAAGACATTACATCCATAGATTCAAGTTGGAATGAAGTGAATGTCACAGTTGATTCCTTTCTAAATACACAGTTTCCAGTAAAGTTTCCGATATTGGAAGCACTCAAGATTAGTGTAAGACAATTTGAGAAAGTAACATTTTACTAGTTGGTCAGTTTACTATTCGTCATTCCTGAATTCAATGCAATTATTGACCATGTATATGAAGTTTGTATGATTGTCGAAAATCGCCACAACCTTATAATGGAAATCAAACAATGTAGTCTTTTGTGTATAGATTCTCGGAGTTCTAGGGAGAAGATGTCATTAGTGAAGTTTGACCGTGTATGTGTGATTGTGAAACAGTTACTCACCGAACATAATAGAGGACCCCACACAATATTGTGGGTTGATTGAAGTTAGGCATTAACACCGTCAGATAGCCATTCACTCACTGATTAGGAAACTAAGCGTTCGTGCGTGGAGTCAAAAAGCATGGATTCGATTTCGGTGTGTTGAACCCATATGGAACAGATTTATGATAAATGAAATAAATATTTTTGTGAAAAAAAAGTATCCATGTGTGGACAAATTAAGCAAGTACTTTCGAATAAAATGTCAATCAAACACTATTTATTTGAAATTCTAAGAATATATTCTCAGGCAAACACAATTAAAATTCCTCATCTATTGAATATCAGCTGAAAACGATATCTTAGGTAAAAGTAGTCGTTCATCGATTGATTGATTCTAAAGTTTGTTTTAATCAAAACTGTTAAAGGTTCTCTCCGATTTCTAAATACACCAAAATTTAATGGATTGAAATTACTTCATTTAATTAAGTCAGACGACAATTAAGTTTTACAATAACATAACACAATACAACATTCAATGATAAAATCGGTGAATTCATGTCGAATGAATTAATTATTCAGCTTTAAAAGATATCAATATTACTCATGTATTAATAATAATAGTATTAATAATCATTTTTCTGATTTAGTTTTTACTGTTATCTTGATTTTAAAAAGGATTTCATTGTTCTCTCTCTATTGAATCAGATTATTTCGAAAATGTTAGTGAACAGCAAATCACATCGAATTAATTCAATGAGTAGTAGTAAAAGTATGATTAGCGTGTGGGTGTTAGTAAACTTGTGTTTACTACTCACTGCTTGAATTATAAGTAGTATGCAAAAGAGTGTCGCCCTGAAGTTACTGGTTGAACCGAACAGTGTTTGGATATGAATATATAGCGCGATCAATGTGTTTTGACAACTAGAAGACATGTTTGCTGTGTTTGTTTCGTAAAAAAGGCGAAGTTTTGAAGATCAGGTGTGTATACTTTGTTGATAAACCATGTCACTAGTTTTATCTCATGATAACGTCCCTGTTTAGGTACTACTACTACTACTACTGTGGTGCGAGCTACTTATAAGTAGTATAGGACGCGAGTGTAAACGTAATGTCTGGCAGCAGAAGATGCAGGGGAAGATCAAGAAAGGAAGAGTGGGAACACAATGGAATTTGTATGAAACACATGAATAGTAGTGACAGTGGATTGATGTTTTGCAACAGGAACAGTCCAGTTCAATTTGATGAACTGATATTTTGCAAATGAACGATTTACGATATGGTTTTCCAATTTTACTGAGTAACTCTGTAATTTCCGTTTAATACAATTCAGTTGCCCCACCTGTGTTCTCGTTCACTACAATAGTAGTAGTGGTATTATTAGTAATGTGAGTATTAATAAACTTTCACTTTTATCTGTAAGTGTAAATAATTTTTGTAGAAAGTATATTAAGCGAGCTTTGTTTGCCTACCTATCAGTCAATTTGTAGACTATAAGCCCAAGACAAAATTAAAAGAACTTGCCAAAATTAGTAAAAATAATAAACACTAGTGAAAATAGCTTACGATAGAAAATAACATATATTAGGATGTGCACTGCTGATGAGTCACATACTACAACGAAACATCGTTTCAGTCCTTCCAAGGATTCAATGATAGCCTAGTTAAGATCAGTTGATATTATCGATTGTGAAATTACTACAATGTCTATGAATCTTCGATGACTAGGAGATATTCGATATCATTCCTAAACTCCGTATACTGCTCATCATCGATAACTAATACTAGATAACATCCAACGATGTGCAGACAATTCAGAAGACGAATACAAAGCACTGATAACGACTATAATCGTATCATATCGATTATTAAACCTCTATTCTAATAAATATATATATGATTTGTAATGTAAGAAGAATTATATTCGTCAAATAGAAATGTTTTTGTATACAGTTTTACAAATGATTGCAAGAATAATGTCGAATACCTCACCACAAAATTGAAAAAGAGGAAATATATGAGGATTATCGGGAACTTATTGAATTCTCTTATTAGTTATAGTGTAATCTATCATAAAATCTCTTGCTTCAGTTAGATGGTAGAGTATTTCATATCTTATTATCGTGCTTACGAATGAGATTCGAATGTTTTCATGTAACACTACTGTTTTTATTGTTGAGTTAAAAACACGAAGTTCAGTGAAAAGATCTCTTTTTCCAATATTAACAAACATGATGATGTAACAGAAATATCTTAATACCTTTTTATATCATGTACATAGATGATAGCTTGTGATTACTTTCAAATCTGTTATTTCCTGTGCATGTCCCAGTATGGTTGTAAATGTAAGAGTGAAAGACAGTTAAAAAGTTCCATTAATGAACCTAGAGTCTATTCTTAGTCTTCGTCTAAATCTTCATTTGTATGCGACGGCTTGAAACGGTAGAAGCTCTTACTTACTTACTTACGCCTGTTACCCCCAATAGAGGAGCATAGGCCGCCCACCAGTTTTCTCCAACCAACTCTGTCTGTCCTAGGCTTCCCTCTCCAATTCTGTCCAATATTTGTTCATTCTTCTCATATCTTTCTCTATTTCTCGGCGTAGTGTGTTCATTGGCCCTCCTCTTTTCCTTTTGCCTTGAGGGTTCCATGTGAGGGCTTGTCTCGTGACGCAGTTAGGTACTTTCCGCAATGTGTGTCCTATCCACTTCCACCGCTTCTTCCTGATTTCCTCCTCCACTGGAATCTGGTTTGTTCTCTCCCACAGTACGTTGTTGCTGATGGTGTCTGGCCAACGAATCCGAAGTATTTTGCGTAGACAACTGTTAATAAACACTTGTATCTTCTGGATGATGGCTTTCGTAGTTCTCCAAGTAGAAGCTCTTGCCATTGATGAATTGAAATGAGAATTGTGTGTACAAGAAAAGTATGCCGCATTCTTATGTTCGCCGTGGCCTCAAACTATTATTATTATTATTATTGTTATTTTATTTCATAGTTCTCATATCATCCAGAGCTTCTTAATCAACTGTGATTGTTGTGTAGTGGTGTCTAAGAATCTTACTTTATACGTCATATATGTAACATAACAGTGAAATGTAATCTGTTTAAATTCACTGATGTACTAGAAGGCCATTTTGACTTAGTATGGATTCATCTTTATCAAGTATGAGACATTTACTCACTGGATACAATGGACTGCGCAAAATCTTGTAGTGATTGAAGTTAGACAATAAACACCGTTCAATACAGTCTCAGTGTTTCTAGAGCTTGAGCATTCGCGCGCGTGACCGAAGGTCATGGGTGTCGTGGATGCGCACTGCTGATAAGTCCCACACTACTGAAACGAAACGGTCGTTCAGTGCATCATGGTCGATTCGTAATTTCAATGAAATCTAATAATCTCCACAACATTTTCAATAGGCATATAATCACTGTCAATATTAGCTAACACAAATGTAAAAACGGATAGCATTTTTTTTCCTCAGTTATTCTTTTACTAGATAGTGTCTTTAACCTTATGCCTAACCCTCCTCCTTTATTCGGGTTTTGGATCAGCAGTAACCTCGGAGGGGCTCCAAGCGGAGTTAAACAAAGGGAATAGTTTTCTATTCAAATAAAATTGTTCTTATCCACCTACAGTCCACAATCTTTATGGTGAATATCAATCAGAATAAATTGACTGTAAACTACACTA